GCAGTTGGTTTATGTTGATGAGTTAATTATAAAATCAATGCAAATTTGATTAAGACTTAATTACTGCAAGTTTCTTGATTATCTCAGCATATGTCAATCACAAACTGGGAAGATGGTCGAGTGGAAAAGATATCAGAAAGTTCAACCGCATGCAATCAAAATTCAGTGTGGATGGGTGGGTGTGAGTGATATATAGAGAGAGGGTGGGGGAAAGCAAGCATAATGGCAAACAGAACTTGGAGAGATGTGAGAATCTTTCAGTTTGCACTTGTTATGAAGCCACTGGACACATTCCCATAATGTAATATGTTGGAGCGTGTACATAATTAGTTCTATCCCTCCTATCTATCTATCTATCTATCTATCTATCTATCTATCTATGTCTCCCTCTCATATATATATATATATATATGTGTGTGTGTGTGTGTGTATGACAAATTGGGAAAAAGTTTTTTTGTGATGCGTTTCATACGTTAAGATTTCATCGAACGGATGAAACGCGTCCTAAAGTTTTTTTTTTTTCCAATCTGTCATACTGTTTTACTAAATACTGTTTGCTGATATATAAAATTATACAAAATTTTATATCGTTATATCATATATATATATATATATATATATATATATTGAGAGAAAGTTGAGATGCATACAATTGAATAATTTATGAAGTCACACTTAAATTTAGGTTTAATTATGCAAATACGTTTATATTAGCACAATTAATAATAAACATTCATATGCACTAATATATGATTAAATAAGGAAAAAGTAGGAAAACCATTATAATTAAAACTTTTCGCTATTTATTTTGCTTCTAAATTTCTGATGGAGCTAAGCAAAAAATAAGACGTTAAATTTATATACATGTTCCTCACTTAGCAATTTCTTCGGATTTTATATTCAACTTATACTAATATGTACACACAGACACACATACGCACACACACATATGTATATATTTCTATACTAAGATATTTGACTTTACGCTTTTTGAAATCGTGTGTGTGTGTTTGTCCTTGTGTGTGTGTGTGTGTGTGTGTGTGTGTGTGTGTGTGTGTGTGTGTGTGTGTGTGTGTGTTCATAAGTACATCCTTTATGACTATGTGCGTTTCTTGAGAATTTTTTCATATACAATATACACAATAATGGCCCTTTACGATTTTTTGCAGACGTGGACAAAATGTTGCTGGTGCACTCTTTATAATTCACAGGTGTGCAAGGGAGATATATCCGTTCAAATATAGGATTCGATTTATACTGTCGCTCCAATTGATTATAACCATCGGAATTCAACTCACGACCAGAACTCTGATGCAAATTTATCAAAGTCTCTGATTGAATTCTTATTTAGAGTCTTCAAGCCTTGCCTGCACGCTTCAAGGTTCATTGAAAATCGTAGACATATTCAGAAATTTTGTTATTAGCATTTTTTCTTTAAAACATCTTTTCAAAAACGTCATGAGCATGTAAATATGATTATATATGTAAATATGTACATTTATTTATGCATACACGCACACACGTTGAAACACCGGTATATATATATATATATATATATATATATATATATATATATATATATATATATATATATATATATATAAAGTTTTATTTTGGCAGCAATAATTCTTTCAAGCATTTTTTAAAAAGTTTGGCCGTTTAAATGATGTCACTTTGAGTGACTTGAAATTGGTTCCTCCAATCGTGAAAACACCAGAATTAAACAAAATAGTTGCGCAAATAAACACAAAACACAATTCTTGAAAACGAATTTAGCAATATTCTCGGAAAAAAATAATATAAAATAATAATAAATTGGAAAATTTACCGATAGCATAAAACAACTAATTCGGAAATTCGAATCAAATTTTAGTTTCAAACCTTTGTCAGTTTCGTGTATACCTAGATTTTTTTATATGAGTAATTTCACGATTTTTATCGTATTTCTACATTAGTATTTATCTTATTCTTTATCTCTCCCCTTTTCTCTCTCCCTTTCTTCCCATATCTCATGTTCTCTCTCATATATATATATATATATATATATATATATATATATATATATATATATATATATATATATATATTATCACTTAATTTTAGTGGATCCCCATATTTGAGTAGATGCTCCGTTTTTACTTTTAAATAGTCTGTCTCTTATCGTCTACCGTATATACATTCCCCCTCCAATTCTTTCGTTTTTGTTGTTCACTGAAGATATTTAGTTTTAACATCAAACAATGAATATGAAAGAAGAGTTAAGAATTTCAACTTTTATTTCCTGGTATTTACATTTAGATGTGTTAAACACCTTAGGTCATACCACCCTTTGTATCAGCCACACCATTTTTAGATGGTCAAAAGTAAAATAACTGGTAGCCTTAAAATAAATAACATTTTTAAGCCTGTGACCGATCGATATCACCAAACTGTTGCATTCTTCATTTCTGGTGATTTTTCCAGACTTTTAATGCAGCCTCTTCCAGCTCTTGTTTGTTTCGTGAGGTTTCTTCCTTCAATCTCCTCTTCAGGAGATGAAAGCATGCTCATAAAAAAATTCAAATTTTATATCCAAATTTACATTCAAATGTTTCGAAACGTATACTGCTGGACCCTCAAAAAGAAAAGAATAGAATTGGAGAAAATGAATTAATGTGAAAAAACAGCAAAGGACAAAATCAAATTTTACAAAAAATTCGACATTGTTTCTATGTGTGTGTGTGTGTGTGTGTGTGTGTGCGTGTGTGTGTGCAGTATGACTGATCAGTAGCTTGTAATTTTTCCTTTAACTTCTAAACCAACGCAAAACCATGAACGGTGCAGTTGAAAGATTTCTCTGTGTGGAAAGTAAATTAAATGTGATGACATCATTTCGTAGTGGGATTTAGCTGACGAAGATTTTTAGAAGTTTTCCACGTTTGCTTGCAGGATCACATATTGTTTAAGACTTCTGTCAACACGCCGCCTTCAAGTTTTTATAATTAGAAAATATCTGCGCCAAATTTCTCTTTATTGAATTCCTCGTCAATTGGAAGATCCATCAAAACGGACTGATATTTACTACCAGTAACTGGGCATTTTCTATTTTAAGGTAAGTTAGGGAAAGGGGTCGGGGAGAAAAAAAATCCCATCATATAATTAAATGATTCTATGGCATCTTCAATCGTAAAGTAATCAATGTTTAATTCATTACTTCATTTTGGTGGCCATTCAGTAAAGGTGGAAGATGATTATCGAAACAGTAATAAAGGCACAAAGAAACAGGTTCGGCTTCTAAAATGATAACCTTAACATAATTGCCAAGTATAATCATTGATAGAAAATATGGGAATGAAAGTATCCCTTCTCAAAAATAATGATCTTTTTCACTTGATTAATGAAAATAAAATATATTAAATTAAAATCTTCTTTCTCAAGAAAGATTTACTTTTCTGTTTAGCGGCATATCATATGGGTCATTTAATGACGAAATTTAACTTCCTTGGGAGCATTAATTTCTTTTACAAAAAATGTATTGTTGGCAGTTATTTTTTAACTATGAAAATGTATTGCTGGTATTTTTACTATAAAATATATTTTTATACTTTCATGGTGTTTTGATCCCATAGCTAGGACCCTAATAGGTGCTACCATCCGGGTCAGGGTAGACCTGGGAACAACATCAATTAAGAGGTGCTTTCACGCTCCTCAAAACCTCCCGAATAGAGGCGTTGCTGCCGGATGTAGTTTATAGTCATACCCAGGACGTAAAAAAAAAAAAGAAATTGAAATATGTGCACCAAAATTCTTTTCATTTTTCTTTAAGTACATTTTCCCGCTGACGTTAAACAGTGGGATGATGACATACAAAGAAACAAATATACGTACGTATTTGTGTAAATATATATGATTTGTATATTTGGAAAAAGTAAGAAAAAAAATGAAATGAAAGATGAAATGAAAATTCACACTTTTGACGGGTAGTATCAAGTTTATGTAATTTAACAGAGAGGGTAGGGAGGAGTGGTGGGAGAGACATGATTGAAAGAAATATTACAATAAACCCTCTCTAAACTCAACCATGTACAACATTTATATATTATTGTCCCGGTCTGCACCCTAGAGATGTCACTCCAGTCTCACCACCAAAACGACTGAAATTTTACCAAACAGGGCGCAACTATTATCTTGTGAAATAAGTGAATGTCTACTAATCATTAAGCGAAAACGATATACAATAAAGTTATCTTTCAAAAATGATTGAATATATAAATATGACCAGTACGGTAAAACAGCAAAGAGTCTAAAAAATGTCATTTTTACATTTGAAATGAGTAAATGCGCTAAGGACAAAACTGAGTTCGGAAAACGATCAGGAAATATACTCTCGGAAGAAGAATTTTTTGTGGTCAAACGTTAATCCTGACGACAGCATCATAGGCTGATTCGCTTTAAACCCGGAGATCCGGCTTTGGAATGACACCACTCCTTTCTTCTCAAAGGGACGAATCAGACATTCTCTGCCGTTTTCATTTAATAGTGAAATGCCACACTTTGAAAATACTTATTTTTGCAATTTCATACAACATTAACAATTTCCTGTGTTACCATTTGAAAGCTTATATTTACAATTAGAGAGTTGAAATTTCGGAGACACATAATGAGAAAAGAGGGTCTAAAAGATTTAACACTGATAGAATATACTGAATGCAGCAAACAGGGAAACATTCTTAATGATGTTGTGCGACTGGATGACAGAATTGGGTAAAAATTTATAGAAAATGATCAAAAGTTACTTAGAGCAAAAAATAAAAAGACAGGAACTTGTAGAGAGCCATGGTCATCTATGGCTTAAAGGGACTTGATACATAAAATACATAGTAGGAGTCTTCAATAAATTTGTCATAAAAGTATGCATTGGAGCTCTTTTCAGTTTTCTCTCCCCTGTAGACGAGCTCCCTTATTATTTTTTTTAATTGAAATCTGAATCTGTCAACGAGAAAATAGATTTTAATTTCTAATTACGAGTAAAACTTTCCATTAAGAGATATCGAATTAAATATCAACTTTGAAATGGTATTTAAATAGATTTGTTGCAAGAGAACCCGTGTCTTTAAATTGGTTTTAGTTCTCATAAGAGGGTAGAAGTGAGCGTTGCAAATATTCATTAGAGGGTAGGAGAGAGCGTTGCAAGTATTCATAAGAGGGTAGGAGAGAGCGTTACTAGTATTCATAAGATGGTAGGAGAGAGCGTTGCAAGTATTCATTAGAGGGTAGGAGAGAGCGTTGCTAATATTCATAAGAGGGTAGGAGAGAGCGTTGCTAGTATTCATAAGAGGGTAGGAGAGAGCGTTGCTAATATTCATAAGAGGGTAGGAGAGAGCATTGCTAATATTCATAAGAGGGTAGGAGAGAGCGTTACTAGTATTCATAAGAGGGTAGGAGAGAGCGTTGCTAATATTCATAAGAGGGTAGGAGAGAGCGTTGCAAGTATTCATAAGAGGGTAGGAGAGAGCGTTGCTAATATTCATAACAGGGTAGGAGAGAGCGTTACAAGTATTCATAAGAGGGTAGGAGAGAGCGTTACTAGTATTCATAAGAGGGTAGGAGAGAGTGTTGCAAGTATTCATTAGAGGGTAGGAGAGAGCGTTGCAAGTATCCATAAGAGGGTAGGAGAGAGCGTTGCAAGTATTTATTAGAGGGTAGGAGAGAGAGCGTTACAAACCAGTTACTATAAATTCTAGTACTGTGCATTACTATTTGGTGATCAATTTTGATATTCTCTAATCATGTTTTCCCTCCCCATTCGTTTGTGTGTATGAGTGCCTGTCCACGGTTTATGTAATGACATAATTACATATTTTTTTTATGAACGCATTAGTTGATATGAGTTATGTACGGATTTGCTCTTACGGGCAGAGATATACCAAATACGTACAGACATTTTTGTAAGAGTAAATATCTGAGTATACAAGGAGCATATGATTATATAATTCTCTCTCTCTCTCTCATATATATATATATATATATATATGTGTGTGTGTGTGTGTGTGTGTGTGTGTGTGTGTGTGTGTAAAGCACTTATAATAAAAAAGAAAAAGCCATCATTCAATAAGATCAACTATGAACACAGTGACAATGTGCTGACTGTGTTTGCAAAATAAAACATTCATATAACTTTAGATACTTACATAAAAAACATACATTCATTTAAAAATGTAAACAAAATAATCATCCATGATAATAGGTAAAAGAATAGCCGAAACCGCTTGGATATGTAGAACATTTGTACAATTTTTACACACTTTATGTCCAGAAAATGAAACACTTATACGAACACAAGAAAAATTATATAAAAAGCTTAATCGCAATACCTTCTCAGTGGTTTTTAACGAAACTTGTACAAAAGTGTGATTGCTGCTCAAATACACAATATATATATTGTCATCCACAGACAGACTGTTTCGCAGCTCATCAGTGTGGCTAGACATCCGGTTGCCTCTAGCTAGGATCGAAACCAGACTGGATTGGCATTAGTCGGGGATTCTACCACTAAGCCGTTGGCGCATGGTAGGGATGAAGGTGAATTTAAGTGTATTTATTTTTAGATAAACACACAGTGACTGAGAGAACTCAATTCGATTTACCGAAGAGTCTTGCATTATTAGCCGTAATAGTCACTGTTTACAAACACACACTCCCCAGAGAGCTCAACCGAAATAAATTTTTCAGGAGCATATATATATATATATATATATATATATATATATATATATATATATAGAGAGAGAGCGAGAGAGTGATTATCGATATGAACATAAAGTAAGACTAGAGAAGTTTTGCTCTTTCTTTTTTTCTCTCATTCCCTCTTTCTCTTCAACACTATCTTGCCCCTCCTCTCAGTCTATAACCGTGTTCATCCATGGGTCCAAATATTAGACATATATATATACCGGGTGTAACTGCAAAATTGTCCAAATCGTGTAACTGCAAAATTGTCCAATTGTTGGATTGACCTCTGAACATTTGTATCTTAGAAATGATTAAAGATATCTTACTGGAATACCCCAAGATTTTTATAACACTATTTGACTCTACATTGAACAATAAAAATGTATAATTACTTTCCAAGTTTAACAGAAGAATCATGATGAAATCGATCATAAACGAAAATGATATGTTCATCATTAATTAATCATAGCTAGGTATCAGAAGCTCATGAAGGATTGAAATAAAGTTCAAATATATATATATATATATATATATATATATATATATATATATATATATATATTCCAGAATCATTTTCCAACTTATTCATGATCTTCGCCCACCCTAACCTTCTAACTTTTTGTCCTGGAGTAACAAGGTACCTCACAGCTTTCACCTACGATTTCATTTTCAAGTCTTTTTTCATTGATCCCTGGACTCTCATAGCTGAAACTCCGCTTTGAAGTGACAAACGTCTTATGAATTGAGTTGGATCTTTTATAATTGATCGTTTTAGCTAAAAAATGATCTCTCTTCCTGTTGTGATCACCTGGTTCTTGAATGGACTTTGAAGATGGAAGACAGAGTATGAATGTTAGTACCATTACTGAAGGCCCGAATGATCTTTTTCCTCTCATCATTGCTCATTTGGGAAGACAGCGGGTCTGACACAAAACAACTTTAACCTGTTCTCTTTTTAGCTGAATAACTCAAAATGTTTTTTGGTGATTCTTACGACAAATGGTGTCAAGATGGCTAAACGTCTTATCTGAAAACCTAGAAAAAAGAAACTCATTTAGTTTAGTGTTTTTTTGTTTGTTTTTTTTTTGTGTGGGGGGATGGATAATTATGCTGTTTAACGATTTGGACAATTATCTGTTACAGCCGGTATATGTTAGATGATATTTTGTTCATCAGTTGCCTAAGTCTTATGAATGAGTGAAATCTTACCGATGCTCGTTAAGTAAAATATGTCCATTAGCATAAGATATAAAGCACTTATAATAAAAAAGAAAAAGTCATCATTCATATATTTATATTCTCTAATCATGTTTTCCCTCCCCATTCGTTTGCGTGTATGAGTGCGTGTCCACGGTTTATGTAATGACATAATTACATATTTTTTTTATGAACGCATTAGTTGATATGAGTTATGTACGGATTTGCTCTTATGAGCAGAGATATACCAAATACGTACAGACATTTTTGTAAGAGTAAATATTTGAGTATACAAGGAGCATATGATTATATAATTCTCTCTCTCTCTCTCTCTCTCTCTATATATATATATATATATATATATATATATATATATATATATATAAAAAGCACTTATAATAAAAAAGAAAAAGCCATCATTCATTAACATCAACTATGAACACGGCGACTTTGTGCTGACTGTGTTTTCAAAATAAAACATTCCTATAACTTTATACATACATAAAAAAAAAACATTCTTTCATTTAAAAATATAAACAAAATAATCATCCATGATAATGGCTAAAAGAATAGCCAAAACAGCTTGGATATGCAGAACATTTGAAATTCAAAGATTTTACGCCAAAGTTGTTGCCATTCCACAGTTCATTTAGAAGTTCTCAACATTCTATTAAGCCGTCAACGTTTTGGTGATGTTTTCATTTAAATCCCTTGAAAAGTTTATTTTCCTTATTTAAAGAACTCAAATTGCTTCTATATTTTGTCAAAATGCTCTTAAAATAGACTTGCTTTTTCCTTTAACACAAACACGCACGCACACAAATAAATAATGTAAATAATATTGACTTCTTATTCCAGAAATCCAAACATATATATTAATCAATTCTCCCCAAGCAAGGCGATAATGCCACAAGATGCAAGGGGCTACTGGAAGTGAAAGATAGTGGACTTTAGAACGAACCGGAAACCCAATCCTAAACAAGAAACAAAGAATAAATCTCTGGCCCTGTTCAAAATACCGAAGAGGAGTGTGAATTTGAACAATAGGCGAACCTACCTATTTCTCCTAAATATATATAATGTTAATACAACTGAAAAAATACGTGAAATTGCGATAATTTAACGTGATTTTTAGGTTATATCTAGGACTATAATATTCAATAAGTCAAAAATATCTTGTAAATTTTTTCTAGAAAATAAATTAGTTTTGATAGATTTATCAAACATATTTTCCCAATGATCGTTTCGACACGAAACTCTTGAGTCGGCTAATCAGATGAGTCACATGAACTTCTCTTGATTTATTGAATGAATATATATATATATATATATATATATATATATATATATATATATACACACACACATATGTCTATCTATCTATCTATATATATATATATATATATATATATATATATATGTGCGTATATATATATATATATATATATATATATATATATATATATATATATATATATATAAATATTATTTACGAATTTATTTAAATGCCCATTAAGGAATTGTATTCCTGATGAATCAAAATTCGTAAATAATTATATAGGCCATACTACAACATAGTTGACACGAAGACTCACTCTATATCTTTCTGACCATAGCTCAATTAGATCTCATTATTCCTAACAACTTGTTGACAACACAAATATAATAGCATCATCTACATGAAAATAAAAGGCAAAAAATAATGGAAGCCTTATTAATAAAAGTAAAAAAAAAAACAACACTTAATAATATCAACTATGAACATTGGCATAATATCTTCACCGTGTTTTGAAAAATGAAAACATTATATAAATACATACATGCAACAAACTATTTCTTATTTAACAGTTAAAATATTTCAGCCTTGAAAATGGCTAAATGTATAGCCGAAAGAGCTTGGATTAAAAGAACATTCGGACAGTTTTTATATAATTTATCATTTGAAAAGAAAAAAATATTAGATTGCATGAGAAATTGTATAAAAAAAACTAAATCAAAGCCCCTTGTCTGTCGTATTCAATGAAATGTGCATGAAAGAAGGATTGCTGCCTAAATACACAAATATATATATATATATATATATATATATATATATATATATATATATATATATATATATAACCATTAGTAAGTGTCATTCCCAGTTAATTAAACTTTGTTAGACATAAATAAATCTCAGTGTTGCCTCGACCAGACCAAATAGACAGTTATACAGCTACATACACAGGGATTGGTAGATTGAAAATTGAATAAATCCCGTTACACGAACAACGCATTAAAAATTGATGTCATAGAAACGTAAATAGTGATTCATTTCCAGGATCTGCATAATAAAGAAGAAACTGCATTGTTTAATGAGATATGCAAATTAAAAATTCTTCAATTTGTGATAAGTTGCTGAACAATTCACGAACAGATCAAAAAGTATTTTCCCCACTCCAAATCTGATGTTTGGTCAGATTTTGGGAAGAGGCTAGGTCCGAGAACTTTTCAATACACCCTTGTATTACTTACACTAGTTCGATATCAGTCAATTCGCTGATGCCAGGCTTACGGCTACGTCACGTTGAAACACTGGCTCCGTATGTTCACCGTTAAGCAACATTGAGTCTAGTTAGTACCTAGACGAGTGACCGCTTGCCTATACCAGGTGCTGCAAGCTTGGATGGGCGGATGTTTCCCCGAAACTCTTAACCTGTTCAAGGCTAGGGTTAACTGTTGTCTTCCACTCTTA